TGTCAGTGAGGACAGAATTTCGCACAATGGAAGCCGAAAATATTGAATTATTATTAAATTTGATTCGAAATTATCCCGAATTATATTTAGTTGGGCATGTTAATTACAAAAATACATTCATTAATTTTAATTACATTCTGAAACGACGTCTGCACCTAGAGCCAACGAAAGCTACAATGACATTTCATTGCGAAAAAACTGCAGTGTACTAACGTTCCGCAGATATTTCGCTACCGCAATTATTTCGCAAAGACTCGCAGCCGCATACGAACGCGTAGGTGTACTAAACGCGTAAAGGTAAATTATTAATTACAAAAACTTCTGATAGATGGCTGAAATGTCTCAAAATCTCAAACATACACACTCTTTGCTCTGTCAACGTTCCAGCCACTTTGAAGCCAACAGGTCTCGCTAGGGACGATAGCAAGAGGCCATATAGGACGTCTTTGATCCCTTGAAGAATGTGTTGGGCTTTGGTATGGGATGCTTCTTGTGGTGAGACGTTAGCCCTGTAACACAAAAGCTGGCTCGGCCGCAGAGCAGGTGGAAAATATTAAACAGCAAGAACTCTTAGTCTTTCCTCCAACTTTAATTATTTCCCTTTAGAGTATAAAATCTTGGGCCGAGGGGTTCAAGTATACAGGCGCTAATAAAAGATTTAAGTAGGCGCCTTGTGACCCGGGAGCTGGTGCTTTCCTCGCTTAACGAAAAATAATATTATAAAACTATATAAAACTAAAAAAAAATATACTTTTAAGGGCTTGGTTTGATATAAAAAAAATTTGCAATAGTATTTCTATTTAATTTCAAGAGCTTTTAAATAATTATTTTTACAATAGTTCATATTATATAACATTTGATCGTATAATTTTACCGCAAAGTAGATCTGGTGTATAGATTTAAAACTACTGTAATAGCCTTTTTCTGCCAACTCTTAATACACAAAGATTTATTCGGGGCATAAAAAACAATGCTCCAAAATGCGAGCACTAACTAGGTTTAGGGTAAAATTTATTTCATAGTTTCACGTGCCCAATAAATCTTTTTATTCTCTATTATAGAATGTTTATATTTTTTATCTACGTTTTACTAGCACTTTGTAAGCGTGGAACATATTAACCACATGCAGTTTATTTCTCTTGCAACAAGGGGTCAATTGCATTATGTTTAATTGTTGATTAATATTTCCATAATATAAAATTAAAATATTTCAAGTAATCAGGCACAATCTTCGAGCTTCATCATACATGCATGCATGGTTGTTCCAAATAGGAGAAACACATATTATGAAATGCACCTTACTAAGGAAAGAGAATGGATAAATATTAGATTACTAAGCGAATTGTCTAGTTATCGGAGTACCGCTGATACTATTGGAATGTTAGCTGCCTGACACTAATATAAAATTACTAGAACCGTTGCTACATTTCGATAAGATTAACATCTTTTTTTATTATTACAATTAATTGCTTTAAGGTAGAAGAATTTGTAGAACACAAAACGTGCCGTTTTAAAAGACGGAGTGTTTATTGTTAACTAACTAAGAACTGGCAGTAAATGTAAACTTAAAAGCATTTTATATTTTTAATTAATTTTCTTTTACAACATGTTCAGTAGAAAAAGATATTTTTTCAAAAGTTAGTTTTATAATTTAAATTATAAGAAAATAATTTATGCATTTCTATATTCTTTTTATAACATTAGTTCTACGCCCATTCAGGCCGAGCTACGCTCGCCAAAACAGCCTGAGCTGAGCTGTAAAGGCCCTTATGGCCAACAGCGAGATTCCATAAAAAAAAAAACATTCGTTCGACGTACACTTTAATGATATCAAGCAATTAATACTTTTTGCAGCGATAAAAACAAATATAATTTTAGGATATAATATATCACATTCTGAATTCTTACGATGATTTATTTGACTGTGCAAATGGACTGGATGTACCTAAAGAAAAATATGTAAATGTCCATTACAACGTAGTTCTTATCCTAAGTTCACTTTTATGATTTCTGTCTATATTTTTTAATGATTAGTTTCATTACACATACACACACACACAGACACACACCAAATTTATTTTTACGACTCTGTTTGCAATGTTTTCTTTTAGCACTTAATACTTATTTTCTTCTATTGTATCTTATGACAATGACCAGATTGTACGTGTTCCGGTCCGGTGGTGGAGAGGCTGGCTATCTGTCACTCAGGTCTCCTGTTACAGAGACCAGTCTCTCACATACACTTCCTAATGTTATCATCTTAGTTTAATCATAATAACCTTGTATGTATATGTGAGAGAAGAAATAAAGATTATTATTATTATTAAGTCATATCTATTTTATAATAGAGCAAATATTATTCCATTAAAATCTACCTACATAATGACTTAAAACTCCGATAATAATTGCTATGCAAACGAAAATTCCCTTTCTTTGAGTGCATTTTAATTTTAAATGTCCATTTGAAGTTCTTTAATTTCCATACAAAAGCGTTCCCGTTTTATGATGGGATAGAAAGCTTCACATAATTTTTAAACTAGGTTTTGCATTTGCGGTTTTGCTTAGCAAAATTAATCAGATCATAAGACATCTTCTCTCCTCCACGCCATATAATCCTCTAATTGGGATTTAATCAAAAAATAAGTAATGTACATACATATGAATCAAAAACACATGTGTAAACACACGTGGGTGCAACCCGAATAAGTATCATTGAACCATTTCAATATCCTAATATAAAAAAAACATTGCAAACTCTTTGGTATTACAAACTTACGGTATTATTTATGATTATTTGGCGTTCATAATTCAAATATCAGATTTAGATAACGTTGAATAAGAATTTCTTAGACTTAGGGTCTGTTTCACAATGTACGGATAAGTACCAAATAGCTATGCAACACATAAATTATTTGGAAGATAAAAGTTCCGAATAAGAAAGTTTGCGTTTCACAATCATATTTTATCCGGCACACAACTATCCGACACATAAAGAAGATTGTGGTAGCAACACCAAATTCGTATGTTCCGTTTTTTTGTTACGAACAAATAAAGTTACAAAATTCTATAGAAAAACATAGAACCTTAACCTTTTTGTTGGTCATTTAATATTACTTGTAATGAAACGGGCTGTCATTTTCACATGGTATTTTTGTTTGTTAGGTTATTGAGTATTTTACTACATATTTCGTTCGGTGCCTTCGGCTTGACCTTTCCGTTGTTTTTGTGATTCGAGGTTGATTCTTTAACTTAAAAAAATGTCTACGCAAAAACGTGAAAGAAGCGTCAATTTCAGCCGGGAAGAAGTTGAGCTTCTAACTTCGCTTGTTGCTGACCATAAAAATATATTAGAAAATAAAAAAAGTGACTCAGTCACCTGGCAGGAGAAAGAGCAGTGCTGGAAGACGCTAGAGGCGCTGTTTAATAGCACAAGTGGGGTAAACTTTCGCAGCGCTAAAACTTTAAAAGCTAAATACGAAGGCTTAAAGAGGGCTACAAGAAAAAAGTCTGCCTTGATACATGCTGAAACATATCGTACAGGAGGTGGCCCTAGTGCTGCTACTCCTCTTACCCCTATCGAGGAAAAAGTCAAAGACATGATATTGTTGTCTGTCGAAGGAATTGAAAGTCAATTTGACTCCGATCGCATTGGTAAGATATACAATACAAATTACTTTATTTTCTCTCACAAATGAAACAATATTACATACATATGATATAATTTTAGAAAGAGAATCTATCCATTCAGTTGAGGCAGACGTTTGTACACAGAAGGAAGATTCTGATGAGGAGCAACCTCCAAAAAGAAAAATAAGTAAGTAATGCTTCAAATTGTTATGCCTCAGAGTTGTTGGTAAGTTAGTCGGACTTTACCTTTTATGTTTAACTTCAGGTGAATGTGGTAGTGCTACGCCCAAAAAAATTGAGGCAATTGAAAAGTGGACCAACTGGAAGCCAAAATCTCTACGTTCCAAAAAACATCCCGCTTTATGTAAGTTATTTGTATTAAAGTAGATTTATTTCATTATTAGGTTTTGCCTATAGTTGTTAAAGTAAAATTGTAAATACCGTTAGATTGTAATCTATCTCGCGAGATTATAAACTGTCGAAAGATTGTGAACCTCAGCGTACTGCTTATAATTTAACGTGTTGAAAGTAACTCACAGCAGCTTTAGAATTAGTTATATGAAATTATTGGGAAGTAAAATTAATCTGTGATTGACCAAAGAAGTTTGAGTGATAACTAAGTTAGTGTTGGAAATGAAATGAAAGAAAATTTCATTAATTTTTCAATTTTAATTTGTGTTTGAAGAGAAAATATTGTTACGTTTCGGATTTTTTTACTTTGATATATTTTTTTTTCATGTGATCTCAGAATTATTGATTACCTACTAGATTTTAAGGTTGTAATTTGACGGTGTCACTTCGATAGATTACAATCTACCGAATAATAATACGTTAAATTGTAAGCAGTTCGTTGAGGTTCACAATGTTTCGACAGTTTACAATCTCGCGAGATAGTTTACAATATAACGGTGTTTACAATTTTACGGTGACATAGTCACCACGCTACATCTAAAACTCGCGGATAAGCCCTAAGTCGCTTTCATCGACACCCACAAGCAAATATTGGGTGATACTTCTCGTCTTTGCTGCCACCACACGGCTAACCAATCAATCTATTTTCAGCTACTCCGAAGATGAAAAGGCCATTCGAAAAAGTTGCTGATTCAAAATTAGAGATTGCGGATCTGCAAAAGAAGATTCTGGAGGAAGAGTTTCTAAATAAGAGAAAGCAATGGGCATTTGAAGAGGAAGAAAGAGAGCATAAAAGAGAATTATGGGCCATAGAAAAAAAAATATTGTTAAATAAATTAGAAAAATAATAGATTTTGTGCCTGGAGCGAGGATGTATTGTAATAAAAATTTGTATTTTTATTTAAATAAAAGCATTGAATTTTTATTTAATTTATCTCAAAAATTTTGTAATTTATAAAATATTATAGTAATAAAGCAAAATAATCACTTATAAGATTACTTCGCACACTTGCATTTCCCACGTTGTCAATTGCGCTTTGATCAATATCATCAGCTAGTTCATCTACTTGTTGCAGTAGTTCAAAATGTTCATCTCGCATATCAATAGCAATATTGTGCAACACTGCACATGCCACTATCACGGCTTGTACACGAGATACATGAAGCAAAACCTTTTTTGACAAAATGGGGAACCGGTTTTTCCAAACACCATATGTCCTTTCCACCACATTTCTGCTTCGAATTTGAGATTCGTTATAAAGATGTTCTGCTGGAGTCGTGGGGTTTTGGAGTGGAGTTAGTAGGTATGAAGTATTTTCATAGCCTTTATCACCAACAATCAAAAGGTTTCCAAATTCTCCATTTATCAGTCTTTGTTTTAGGAATGAATTGTTGAAAATTGTTTGGTCATGTGCTGCTCCTGGCCATCTAGCCACTATGTCTAAAATTTTCAACTTTGCACTCACTACAGTTTGAACATTAAAAGAAAACTGTGACTTTCTGTCTCTCCATTCTTCTGCATTGTCTCCACCTAAAATAACAAAAGTTATATTATACAAACTAGAAACAATAATCGAATAAATAACAAAGTAAAAACTACATAGTTTAATAGATATTATGTTTTTATTAGGTTATTGGATCTTTTACCTGGAGATTTTATAGGAACATGGGTAGAATCAATAGCGCCAATGAGTCTTGGAAATTTAGCTATGTTGTAAAACTCTTGCTGTATTTCTTGAGTATCGGTTGGAAATTTGATGAACTCAGGACGGAGCTGTGCAATAGCCTGTGAAATCAAGGTGACAATGCGACTGGCAGAAGCTTTGCTGACACCAGAGAAATCACCGACTACTGTGAGAAAACTTCCTGTTGCATAATATCTCAAAGTCAATAGTAGACGAGTAATCGGCATTATAACATGATTTCTGAAACAAACATGGGTTAGATTTGGTACATAACGAATTCGTTGGTTAGGTAAATAGATTCCTATTCCTACTTAATTTGTCTAGGAAAACCAGACACAATAGAAAATCTATTGTTAAGTGGATCCGTTAGGATCCAGCAGCGCTCATCAGGTAGCTAAACCAATCATTGCGGGTTGTATGTATGTAGGTACTTACCTTTCTGTAGGGGCAGAAATTGTTTCTTCGATCATTGAATAAACAAACATCACGGCTTCTTTAGTAAGTCTGAACCGTGTCCTAAAGTCCGTTTCGTCCAATGTCTCCATATAGTTAGTTCTATTCTGAAATACAGGATTCCTGCGCGGTGTTGTGATGCGATCAAAGTATTCATCAAACTCATCTTCAAGAGTTTCAAAAACGTCCATCATATTATTGAATCACAACGTTTTCTTGTCTGACATCAGTCAAACACACTTATGTTTCAGATAAATTGTGCTATTTGCCACTTCATCGGACTTATAACTTATGATGGACTTTATGTGACGAATAGCGCTATCTGACAGTCGTGAAACGCAACAATAGTGTTTATCCTACCAATAAGTAATAAATAGCTTATTTGGAACTTATGTGGAACTTATCCGGACATTGTGAAACAGACCCTTAATATAAAAGTCAACGAAGCCATCTTTATATCATACATCGATAATTTTTAATTTTGTATTATCTAACATGTTGATCATTCCATAATTCGCAGAGAAATAAATATGAAAAACCTAAATAACCAGCCCGGAAAATTCTGAAAATGAAAATCCTTTGATTTGTAACTACGGTTTTGGAGTATCCAGTATTGAAACCAGGTATCCATGTTTCGGGCAATTGAGAGACGTTCGTTAGGCCGGGCGAGTTCCGACCGATAGTAATCCGCATAGTTCAAGTTCCGTTAGCGGTTTTATTTGGTAGATATTTGGATATATTCCACTAATCAAAAACTGCGATTTTCATATAATCAGAATTAATGATAGACGTACGTGTATATATAGATATATATAATTACACACATTTGATTTGACTCTTAAATTCTTACATATATAATAATATAATTCTCAATTATTTCTCATTCCTCGGGATATAGTAAATACCTCGAGTGAAATAAGTGCATGCAACACTTTCATTTTTATTAATATGGCAACACAGCCAACTCCGTATATACAGCGCACATATTAATTGTAAAGCATGCTAAATCTCAGTAAGAAAGCAGTTTTTGTGAGATAGATAAATTACTTTGCCTTTGACTACAATGAACAATACCGGCACTAGTCCACCAAACGCTTACAAGTAACTATTTTGGGGTTAATTTTCGCTTGGGGCAGGATTTGGCAGGCGGGCCAGGATCCAACCATTGCGCTGAGCGCTTCCGATTATCGTAAAGAATCCATTTTTCATCACAGGTAATGATTCGGTTTAAAATACCTTCATTATTGTGCCGGTTCAGTAATGTAACGCAGCAGTCGACGCGCGTTTGCTGGTTTGCTTCAGTCAATTCGTGAGGTACCCATCTTTCAAGCTTTTTAATCTTCCCAATTTGCTTCAAGTGAATTAAAACAGTTTTATCACTAACACCGCAGCCTGCAGCTAACTCGGACGTGGTTTGCGATGGATCCGCTTCCACAATAGCCTTCAATACTTCATTATCAACTTGGGTCTCAGGCCGTACACGGGGCTTGTTCTGCAGGTCGAAATTTCCAGAACGAAAACGTTGGAACCAAAAACGAACTGTGTTTTCTTTTGCAACATGACCGCCATACACATCATTCACCCTTCGAGTCGTTTCCGCGGCACTAGTGCCACGGCGGAACTCGTACTCGTAAATAATGCGATACTTTAAGTTTTCCATTTTATAAAATTAGTGACGCAAACAGAAAAAAACAAATGAATGACGGTTATCGAAGCATAAATACATGAGTAAATAGCCGTACAAATTTGAATTTGGAATTCCTTACCAAAGAGGAGAACATCGTTATTAAAGTGGCCAGTACGAAATACGCCAATTGCATATGTAAGGACCTAATATTAATCGTCTGTTAATGTCAGTTTCCATACTAATTCTATTACTATTTATTTAATACAATACAAAGGGTTAATAATCATTCCTTGACATACTATAAACTGGAAATTATGTTAATAGCGGTCGTTTATAACATAATTAGTGTTGGGGTATAAAGATAATTTAAATTTAATGGCTCTCGGTGTCCCATGTGGCGTAAAGGATAGATTTACAAGGGTTTCATATCCCACACTTAAAGAAAATTAAGTTAAGATTTGATGGGCGCAGTGTTTATTACCACAGTTTATTACTTAATTGTTTAATGGTTCAGAAATACATGTAACTTGAGATCGCTGGGTTTGATTATGGACGAATAAAGGCAGTTGTCGATAAAAACGCGTTTAATTCAGTATTGCGTAAATGCTTTATAAACGTTACGTCTAAGTGAAAGTTATTAGGAGGATGAGAGTCATTAAGAGGCTGGAGCGATCAAGGTAGAAAGTAATTGTATTAAATGTGTTACAACGTATAGAGTACCCCCTTAATGGACTACATTTGCCTCATACATTATTAATTGGCACATGCAATCCTGTTACATAGAATGTATAAGCTTCATAGCACAAACTAGTTAGCTGTTAAATTTTTACCAAGTTTTTTGTGATATTTACAATGTGTCAACGTTAAGGTGGGAACTGACCAAAGTTACGAGGTGTAATGTAACACGTTACACAGCGAGCATTCGTGCAGTCAGTACGTCGTGTTACGGGGAAACCAGTGAGCAACGAGCCGCTCGTTGCTTGCTTTGAGTGCTCCACCTGGAGGTCGGTTTTTCAGCGAATCCTTTGACTGTTACGCGGTTCAGTCGGTACGCGTCGCACGTCGCGAGTGATCATGATTATGATTTTATATAAATTGTGTCTTTTTTAAGTACTTTTGGTCCAATTAAATTCAACAGTTCTTCAAAATCGAGACATGCGTACAAAAGTTTTAAACTGTCCAGTAATCATTCGGTTTTTTAATATTGCCATCAATAACAAACCACCTCATACGTTCAAAACACAGTTTTTAAATAAGTTTGATGTCCAGTAACATTTTTCTTTTCTTCTTCTTAATTTGGATGAAACAATAATTAAATAGAATGAAAGATATCAACACGTCCTCGCTGTTGGCCATCTCGTGAACACTGGCGGCGAAAGCGGAGCACAGAGTTTTGACGAGCATGTTACGCCGATTTTAGAACACAGCGTAACATGCTCGATGCGTAACACGCTCGATGCGAATGCTACATTACACCTCGTAACTTTGGTCAGTTCCCACCTTTTGATTGACAAGAGAATGCCATGGGGATGCAAATGTGCATTATGTATAGGAGAGGTATTATAAAACATAGGTGTTGTAATATTTTTTTATGGTGGAATTATAATAAATATATAAATCAGTGGCGCTACAACTTCTTTTGGTCTGGGCCTCAGATTTCTGAATCTGTTTCATGATTATTTTTAAATCTAATAAGCAAGTAGGTGATCAGCCTCCAGTGCCTGACACGCCGTCGACTTTTTGGGTCTAAGACATGTCAGTTTCCTCACGATGTTTGCCTTCACCTTTCGAGCTAATCTTATATACGCACGTAGAAAGTCCATTGGTGCACAGTCGGGGATCGTACCTACGACCTCAGGGATGAGAGTCCAACATTGCTCACAATAAATATATACCAAACAAATAATCTATGAATCAGGATATTTCATATTATATTGTCTCGAAAAATAATAATAATTAATGCAGCGTGCACGAGTGTCTATTAAATCTGAGATACAATGAAGGCGAGGAAACTGACATATCTCAGGCAGAAAAGACTAATTACCATATTACAATTACAGTAGGAACAAGTATAGATTTCTCAGTTCAATAACAGAACAAAATAAATAAGTTTCTCGAGTCAGTTGGAAGAAGTACTCTTTTTATTTCACTCACGCGTATTACTTATACATATGGTTATTATATTATTCTCGCAATATGTAATAAATGAAGTTCCACTGATTAGCTACCCTTATCAGGGCTGTGCTAACATCAATCAAATGTGACAAAGTAGAACAGCCTTCATGTCACTTAATGACCTTTCTGTTCGGAGCCTAAATGATGATGTTGGCTGTTATTGATTGCCTTATCAGCTTAGATATTGATAATAGAGATATTGTTTAACCTTTTCTACTATTTTTACTTACTAAACGAGCTTTAATGATTATTACCATACAAAGAAACAAGTTAAAAAATCTGGTTACTTTATACATGAGATTGAAGAAAACAGAAAATAGGACTCCTCTTCTGGATGTTAACGAATTTGTGCTACAAAGTGTCACTTGTTACTACTACCATTTTGTTTGACACATGCAAAATCGGTGAAGTGGCATAAAGTTTTAAAGACTTGCTTGCGGTCCACCTTATTCCCCCTACCCCGTGTCTGTAGCGGTACAGAAAAATATATGTTTGCATTAGTATAACAATTTCATATTCTTTCTTTCATTATTCTCTTTACAATTTAAAAGTGAGTACTTCATCCCACATCACGCACACACATAGAATCTACGCTGTTATACTGAAAGCGTTTAAACAGCTTTTGATACATACTTTCAGTATTGAAGTATCGTATTTATTTATAAAAAATCCTATCCTTAAGATATTAAAAGGATAACGAGCAGGTTTTCATATCTTTTATTTTTACTTCGATGGCGCTTTGGCGATTAGTAGTTATTAGTCGGGACACGTAACTTATGTAGTAAGACGGAAAAACTATTACGCTTATAATGACTCTTGCTAACTTATTTATCAGACACTATAGGTTACAAAATACAATAATAAACACAATTATTTATTTTTTCAGGCTAACTCGGTAGCGCAGCACAGCATAGCTACAAGTAGAACTTAATTTCAAAGTAAGTGCAACCATTTAATAGTTTAAGAGATTTGTATTTATTTAATCAGAATAGAAAATAATAAACGTAATACGGCAGATATAAATTCTTGTTCTAATAGAAATACGTAAATAGAAACGAGGCTAGATTTGTGAAGAAAAATTTGCTCTTATCAGAGTCAAGGAAGCGAATATAATAAGGGACACGACCGTATTTAAGATGGAATTTGTTTCGCATTAGTAAGGAGACGGCTTCTAAGACCTAAAAATAACAACCAAAAACTGGCCGTCCATGTTTTGTAAGTGAAACATTAGAATATTTCGTTACTTGGAATTTCTCAGTATTTTAAATTTATATTTATTATTTATTTAAAATCGAAAAGAGTTTGTAGTAGTGTGTACCTAGTAAAAATTATATAATATTTTTTTTGATTAATAACATGCTGCAGCGATATATCTTGTCATTGTGATTT